TTGAACCACAAGAAAAAATAGGCGAAGGAGCCTTTGGAGAAGTGTATAAAGGATTGTTACAAGTGAGTCTCTATTAGATGTAGCACGTCAAAACTGGATAGGATGCAAAGCATGCTTTTAGGATGGAATCTGGGGTGCGCGTATTCCAGTTGCCATTAAAACACTGCACTCTACCAATATGACTGCAGATGACCGCATCAAGTTTCTTCAGGAGGCAAATATAATGAGAGGATTTCGGCATGTGAGTTGACTGGTGATCTCATAGATGCGAGCTCTTAAGCACAACAGGGTCACTTTGATAATAAGTAAACGACTGTTTTGTCTTCCTGAACTACCTCATTTTATGTTCGTATTTTAATGAATCTTGACATCGTACTTTTGTGAGCGTTGAGCTGTAACCCATGATTGGAGCAGCGGTTTACTAGGCTTACATTTCGGCTTGTTCGCCTTCGTCAAAGCCTGGAAAGAGGAACAAATGAGATGTACCTTCCCAAATGTTTTCATCGGAACCTTACATCTCTTACAGGAAAAACTCATAAAATTGAACAAGTGGCTCAAAAGCCTATGAAAGAAGCTCATCATATGATGTTGAGGAAATCAACCACGAACACCGTAGCCGATTAGTGACGGCGCGAGTTCTTTTGTTAGCATTCCTCTTTCCTACCCATTTTGGATTCCTTGCGGAAATCCAACAAGCTTCCAGGGTCTTGCGCGCCACCGCCGCAGCTTCTCGCGTTAGTAATGAAACGGTGAGTTCAAATTCATTGTTTTCAAGCCGCAGTCTGGAGTGCCTAGGGGCGTACACATACTTGCTTTCCGCAAACCGTCAAAATGTTTTATTATTCGTATACATAGCGGCATGCCCTCACCAATATATTCATCCCCGCATAATTTACATGTTAGGAGATATATCTCGTAAATTTTAACGCGAGAAGCTGAGATGACACGCAAGAACCTAGATGCTCGATGGATTTCCGCAAGGAATCCAAAAATAAATACGAAAGAGGAGTGCATTGCCGTAACAACTCGCGCCGTTCCTGGACTTATGCGGGTTTTGACCTACACCGTCCGCATATGAACCTCTCCAAGGCACAACTCGTTATTCACTAACGTGTGCTTACGGTAGGGTTGAATCCCTCAACATCATAAGGGAAGCTGTCTTTTATAGGCTTCGCCTGTTCAACTTTATGACTTTTTCCTGCTGGCGATGAAAACGTTTGGAGGGTCCATCTCATTTGTTTATCTCTTTCCGGGCTCTGACGAAGGCGAACAAGCCGAAACGTAAGCCCTATAAACCCCTATACCAATCTTGGGTTACGGCTCAACGCTCAAAGAAGTATACTTCGACTTTTGTAGAAGAGCACAACAGAATGTTAACATGTAACTTCATGGTAATCGATCGCTCTCAATAGAAAAAAATTAGAGGAACTCGGCAGATTGCATATCGATGGAGATAAGCATTCATCTGTCCAATATCACGATTATACAATCAAGACAGCTTTCAAATTGGTGCTCTTTAATTCACTGACGAATTACGCTATCTCAGCAGGCATAAATTTGCTTGGTCTTCTCTATGAAAACTTTTTCCGCGCACTAATAGTTCTGCCAATCCATGAAAAATCAACAAATTTCCAACCAAAAAACATTCAAATAACCTTCATACCGCCAGCAAGATATGATTCGAAGCATAAATGAGGTCTTGACGAGATCTCCAGTTGGACCTTGCGAGAACGTATACCCTCTTGGAAATCCAGCAGTTTACGAAATCCTTCTCCTGTAGATTGGCTTGCAAACAAGACAGATATCACAGCTTTGTTCGGTTGGGGCGCGCTTCACTACAACTTAGGGCCCAGGCACTGAAGACAGAAAGTACTCTGATCTGGCCATTGCGCATTAAGTTGGCTCAAGGGCTGACAAAAAGTGTTTGACACAAGGAACCAATTATGGAAAGCAAAATGTGTTTGCTAATCGAAGACCTGAGAGTTCACGTAGGTCACCATAGACCTAAACAAAAAACGGCGATTCTTAAATTCTCACGGGTTTTCAAAGATTTTGCATAAAATCCCTAGACACATTGTTGATTCATCTTGTTCCCAAGAATGGAGGCCGTTAATCGGCTACTCGCCTAGAATAACGTGTTTAATTAAATATTGAAAATATGTTGAATTTTCCGCGCCGATACGCTTCAAACCTTGCAGCAAGCTTGTGGACATGTTAGTTGTTTGGCAAATGATAATCAAAACGCTTGTAAAATGGGTACTAAAAAGCCGGAAACGGAAGAAGAAGTCATAATTCCTCCCTTTTCTGGACCCGTACAATTTCCTCTTTGCTTTTCTCTCCATGATTTCCAGCTTCCCCTCGGAGAACTGCTGCCGTGCCATAACCGGAACAGTGTCTCTTTGAAAAAATTTCGCTACTTAGGGAAACCTTACATAAAGAACAGACAATATTCAGGAAAATGTGATCCGTCTGCACGGCGTTTGTACGTCCAAAGAACCGATTATGATAGTGATGGAACTGTGCCCGGGAGGATCATTGTCATCACGTCTACAGGATCTCAAAGATCAAGTAAGTGATTGTTAGTGATCATGGTAACCTCGAAAAGATCTCACTAAATGTCACTTTTTATCCCTCAATGGTAACAAAAGTCAACTACGTTTATGGTGCAGCAAGAGGAATGGCATACCTGCAAAGTAAAGACATTATTCATAGGTAAACTGCTGTCCAGTAGAAGTTACTATGATCGTGCAACTACAGTTTATAGAGACATCGCAGCCAGAAACTGTCTTCTCGGGGAGAATGAATGTGTCAAAATTTCAGATTTTGGGTTATCATTTATTGGAAAGACCTTAAGGGAGAAGAAGTTAAAGAAAGTTCCTCTAAGGTAATCAAAGCATTCTTTCTTAAAGGTTAAGGCACTTTTCGTTGGGATACTGTTGAGACGGGATGGTTGCTCGAAAACCTTGCGAAAAGTCAAATTACAGTACCTTGCTCGCCTACAGTATTCGCAAACCAATGTTTCAATAATGATAGGAGCATGTTTTCACTAATCACAGCTCATAACAGAGTAATATGAAGTCTGAGAGTGATTTATCGGCTCATTGTATTTTCAATCTCAACTTCGCTTGTCATCTACCATTATCTATCTAAATACAGAAGGCAGTAGCCCTTAAGTCTAATGATTGTAGGTGGTTGTCGCCGGAAACACTGAAATCTGGTGTTTACTCCACCAAAACAGATGTCTACAGTTTTTCGGTTATGATGTGGGAGATCTTCTCATTTGGCCAACTCCCATTTTACAAATATGATAATCGCGTTTTAAGAAAATTAATCATACAAAAAAAGGTATGCTCTGTAGTATTAGCTTTGCCAAAAAATAAATTAGATCTTCCTTAAGGTCACGCTATCAAAATGTTTGGGGGAGATACCCCCAGAAATGGAAGAGTTGCGCTTGCGTTGCATGGATTACGATCCCAATAAGAGGCCAGACTTTATCGAGATAGAGGCTATTATTTCTGAGGTATGGAGTACTTACACATTTTGCAAAAAGCGTTCTTTTCTTAATTTTATTCGAGAGATTTGCTACATAGAAGCAACCATCTTCTAGATGCCAGATGTGATCAAACCAAAACCGCCATCTTGGTGGACTCGAATAAGCACAGCAATCAGCGACTACATTTATGGAAGAGTTTACACTTGAAATCACATGAGCTAGATGTATCTCTCAAGCTATTACATAATTTAAAATGCGTTACGTGACTGCTTTCATAGTTTACCAACAAATATTCCAAGAAAATACCTTCTGTGCATGCTTACTCGCCTCATCGGTTTGCATAGTGTCCACATAAACAATTATTATAAATATTTAATACTATAGCTTT